GGAAAGAAACATATATATATATATATATATATATATATATATATATATATATATATATATATATATATATATATATAATTGGGGAGGATTTACTGGGCGCAATTCCTTAACTGTAGCCTCTGTTTAACGCAACAGTAAAATGTGTACTTGGATCAAAAAACGATTCTTCGCGGCAGGGGATCGTATTCCAGGGACCGTAGGATTAAGGACTTTGCCCGAAACGCTACGAGTACTAGTGGCTATACAAGAATGTAACAACTCTTGTATATATCTCAAAAAAAATAAAAAAATAAAATAAAAAAATTATATATATATATATATATATATATATATATATATATATATATATATATATATATATATATATATATATACAGTACAACCTCGATTCAAAGTACTATATGGGACCAACCCCTGTGCGTTGGATTCGTTGCAAGAGGTGACCTTCAGGAGGCGTTTGCATCAGTGTCTTTTTTTTTTCTTGTACACAATAAACATGCATTATCATATTATATACTGTACCTATATATTATTACCCTACTAAAAATACTGTGACATTTGTTATTTACCTTATTGTTGGAGTTATGCCCATCTTGAAGTATCGTGGAGTTGTGAATGCTGTACAGTAAATACGTACTGTAGTGTATTATACCATTAACACTGTGTTGATTAAGTAGTTCTGCTGTATGTTGAGTACTACAATACAGTTTATGAAAACTATTGTACACTAAAATTACTGCAACTTTAATTTTAACACTATGTACACACTTAAATTTAACACTTGTTCTATCTGTTCACGCCACACGATGTTTTCAGATGTTTGCATCAGCTTTGCTGGTGCTTGCTGCTGCTGTGGCTTCAGCTAATTCCGAGCTGGTGCTGGGTACGGCTGCTCTCGTGCTGGGCACGGCTGCTCTCGTGCTGGGTACGGCTGTTCTTGTGCTGTGTACAGCTGTTCTCGTGCTAGTTGATTTTCTGCTACAAGTTCTTGCAAAATATTGCTTCATTTTTGGCATTAATAAGGCACTATTAGTAAGCCCCTGACACATTTGTTGAATAACAATACAGCTGTAGTCCAAAAATGGTAAATTCCACAATTATTCCTCCACCGGTGGTTAAATACTGTACGTTAATCACAGACAAAACTAAGGGCACTGAATGTATACTGTATGAACGCAGACTAGGTCTATACGTACATCTTACAGTAGGCTAGTGTTTAAGCCAGATCTAGTAACATAAATTTCTCTCAAATATTCGATTTACATCAAATTATATATTTTTGGGTTATATATTTAGTTTAGCAACATTATTACGATAATAAGAGCTATAAGAATACTTATTTTAGAACTGATTTATCAATTTTATTATTTCGAAGCCGTAGGTCACCGAACTATAGCGACGAAATCGAACAAAACAAACATGGTGTGTGCACACGGATTAGACCTGTCCACTCGCGTTGGACTTGTGAGCCGCCAATAACATGAATAATTTCTCAAATAGCAGATATCTATCATATTACAATATATTTTTGGTTTTATTTAGTTTAGTTTCATTAGGATAATAAGGTAATTAAAACACCAGTTTTAGAAATGTTTTATTAATCTGAAACGTTCAAAGTCATGGGTTACTGAACTATAACGACACAGACGAAAGTGAGTGAAACCTCACTGTAAAGTGAGGTTTACAGTTCAGTATTCCCTTATCTGTCCACCCTCACTCATCTTCTTTCATCACAGAAAATGTATATAAGAAGATTTTCAACACATTAGCTAGCTATTCACGCTTCAGCCTTTAAATTAATTTACAAAGATACGTGTGCCACAAATCAGTGAACGAAAGTCATTGAAACTCGGTCGTTCACTTGGGTGGACCACTCTGGGTGGTGGTTGGTTAATATGCTTTACTTGTTGTGTGGACCATTCTGGCTTGTGTTTGGTTCATATGGTTCACTTGTTGTGTGGTCCATTTGTGTGATCCAACTTGGCTTATGAAGGAATTATTGTAGATAGAATGAGACAGTTTTCCACCACTCTGTGAACTCTGTCCCAACATCGTAAGCTTGTGTGCTTAGTGGTGTATTGAATGTGATGCCACATGTGTGCCACTTGTGTGGCACACATGTGTGGTCCACTTGTGTGATCTAACTTGTCATATGAAGGAATTATTAATTGTAACCTGTGATGGAATGGGAAAGTTTTCCACCACTCTGTGAACTCTGTCCCAACATCGTAAGTTTGTGGACCACTTGTGTGGTCCACTTGTGTGATCCACTTGTGTGATCGAAGTTCTCATATGAGCGAATTATTAATTGTAATCTGTGATATTATGGGAAAGTTTTCCACCAGTCTGTGAACTCTGTCTCAACATCGTAAGCAAATCCGAACATCCCCCACTTCAGTGAACCGGGTGAGTAAATCTGGCCTAAAAAGTGTGCGAACTAGCCGGAGATTCGTTGAATCGAGGTTGTACTGTATATATATATATATATATATATATATATATATATATATAAATAATATTATATATATATATATATATGTATATATATATATATATATATATATATATATATATATATATATATATATATATATGTGAGAAAGCTGCATGAACGCGCAAGCCATATATCACTAAGAACTCTTTGACCCGGCCAGGATTCGAACCCATGCCGTCCAGGATCACCCCTAAACGTACACAGTACCGTGACCACCACACCAATGATCGTATATATATATATATATATATATATATATATATATATATATATATATATATATATATATATATATTACATGTACATGTACACAAATACATATACATATCAATAATCTTTTTATATCACAAATGATTCCACAAGAGGCTCACGACAGTCACTGTACAAGGCACTTTACATCTACTATGAGTCACACAGTTACTAGTCTTGCTCATAACAGTCACTGTACAAGGCATCCACCCAACTGGGCGGCAGCTTTTCAGTCATGTGCAAGCTGCACCTGCACATGACTTCAGCTGTAAGCAAATTTTTTATACTTCGCAAAGATTCGATTACACTGAGTTGACCATGAATGACGCCTGTGGTTGGTCCAAGAGTACCATCCCTCTGCTCATAATTGAAAGAGTGTACGAGGATATCAGTGCCTAACGACCTCAACCTCCGGCCGCAACATGACCACTGTAACCTTTGTTTCACACCCTGTATAACCAATGATCTTCAGTGCCCACCTTTCTCCACTATTTATGTGTGTATATTCCATGGTTTCCATATTATTCATATGTACTTTTTGATAATTACTTATTACTTGTGTGACGTGTGAGGTCATCAATTAGTTGGTTTCTGTGGCTTATAACTGTCTGAGACGAAGTGTGAGGGGGGGGGCAGGTACCACAGTGATTGTCTAGGTGTGAAGGGGGGGGGCAGGTACACAGTGGTTGTCTAGGTGTGAGGGGGGGGGAGCAGGTGCCAGCGCTTAATGGTTCAAATCACGTTATGATGAAGCACGAGGCTGGAGGTTGTGAAGTTACGACACATCATGGTCCTGACCAGCATACACCACTATTATTATTCCACTACCAAGCTCCTCCACACCACATGGTGGCCTTTTATAACCCCCCACATGTATACATTTCCTCTGATATTCAGTTTTCGAGTACACAAGCGTAATGATATATTGCAGCTTACATACATTTGCTTATTTACCATTAAGGATGTGGTAATGAAAGTATTCAGTAGTTTGTTCTAATGTCAGATTTTGGCTGTGGCTTGCACTTGTTGTATTTAGTGGCTGGCATTGTGCTCTTGGCTGCGCCTTACTTTGTCTAGGCCAGACGACACACCTGCACCCACACCATCCTCAACACTGCATGGCTACACCCTCTGTATGTAGGAGACGCAAGCCCACCCTTCCTCCACACCCTATCCTCCTACATTGATACCACTTATACCAACTATTTGCTCCAACCTACAAGAATGGACTACTGCAGCTATCAATGTTCACGTTTTGTACAACTAATGTTGCACAGGGAACGGAAAAATAACAAAAAACAAATATGAACATTTTAGGCCTAATATAGCACGTGCACTATATTAGGCCTAAGATAAGAGTTTATTAGACCTATGTTTGCTTGTTTACAACTTTGAAATTGAAATAAGTTAATTGAGGTAAAGACTGGTAGATAAAATAAAGACAAAGAGATGAGGTAGCTCAAGCTATTCTCACCCCATTACAACTTGAACAGGTTAGGCTCTTTAGTTACCTTATTTACTATACTTTTTTGGTCTAATTCAATAATACAAAATTTTAACATTTTGGGGACTAACGATCCATTCTTGTATGCTTGATCAAGTAGTTGCTATAAATACTATTACTATAGGGTGGACTGCCATGATCACCAAGGGTTCAGTGTGTGACAGACTTCCACGTTGAATGTAGGCACAATGTGAATGCGTAATTTTAAAATAATTTAGATTACGGCTCCAAACATATACACAATATATCATTGCAGTGCTTAGTATGTTAGTAGTAGTAGGTAATGAGCATCAGGTCCAACGACCGCTTTATAATTAATTTGTAGTTACGCCATGGGCACTGCTAAGAACCAAACACTACGAGCTTTAATGACATATAAACCCCTTTATTAGTGAGAAAATGTCAAAGATGTTTTGCTAATGATCCACCCTCAAATCATTATGGGGTGGACTGGCAACATTTACAATGAAAGGATAAGCAATCATTTTTAATACATTTTTGTTTATTTGCGTGATCATCTTGCCTGTAATTAGTAGCTGGCATCGTGAACACGAAAGGTGAGTCTCTTTATTATATTGTTAGTGATGTGAAGTCCTATGTTTACTTTAATTCCAAGGATTATTGATTGATTTTTCAGTTCTTTAGTGCAGTGTAATATAGATTTATGGTCAGTTGGTGGCAGCTGCCTCCCAGATGGCCAAGGTGACCATATTTATTGTTGTCTAATTGCATTGCGTTTTCCTTTCTGTTCAGTTTTACAGGATGAAGAAGCAGCAAGTTCTCGTAAGTACGTTGCTTTAGAGTAGTGACGATGTTTCTCAGCCTCCAAGGACAGGGACAGTCAACTCTAGATAGAAGATCTTCCAGGAATCCATGAGAGCTTGGAAGGTTTTCACACATTTGTATGACGAGTCGCAAGTCGGTTCTATATAACTTTTCAAATATGAGTTGGTAAAACCAACCCAGCCACCCTAGTAACAGGTGGTAGATCCTTGGAGGTGAAGAAGCAACGCTCTGATGCTGTTTTTCTGCATGATCTCGTCCAAGTGCCGAATGTTTGCCCACCTTGAGAGAACTGCTTGTCTCCTCACTGGCTTTCTGTTGCTTGCTTCTCGTTGTTGTCTCTCCTTTTGTGCTCCAAAGACTCATTGAGCAACAATGAATCATTGTTAAAACTTACATCATGATATTCTTATACAAAATAAATTTAACATTTCACAATAGTACAGTATGTTAAAATACTATACTATTTCAATCCGGTATTAATATTAAAGTAAAATTGTTTGAAATGACAAACATCATACATACCGAGCTGACGGTAATGACGGTAACTACTGATGAGAGGAGATTGTCGGTACCAGTGTTGACCTACTAAGGCGGGCACCAGTATTTACATGTCGGTGTTGTGTACGAAAACCGATGATTGACTTTAACGACTAACACTTCTGCCACCGCCAAGCTTCTTTTCGTTTTAAGAGCTAATACTTACTTTTAGGCTATGTTAGACAGTTTCTACCAATTTTCAATAATAAAAGGAACGTGGCAGGTGGAAGCTTGCATCTTTTTAGTCTTGCTAACAACACAATTTTTGCCATTCTATGGTGGATTACATTCAAATTCAAATTCAAATATTTATTCAGGTAAAGTACATACATACAAGGTGAGATACAAAACATTGATGGATTTATAGATAGAGCTAGTACATACAATGCCTAAAGCCACTATTATGCAAAGCGTTTCGGGCAGCTTGCCCGAAACGCCCGAGATGCCCAAGAACACATAGATTACAATGTTAGGTTATAGCGCTAGTAGTGTGCAAATATTTACCACGCTAATTAGCACTATACAGTTTAGTATATAGGTGGCAATGGAGAACATAGATACTCCCCACCGATTAGTACAGTACTGTATCATCAAACTAATAATAACAACTCGGTATCCCTGGTTGAGATTCCATACCATTTAGTTTCCTTTTGTCCTCCTCAGTGAGAAAATCTGTAGGAGCAAAGATGAGGGTTCCAAACTATGGAGGTGGGTGTTCACACGCTTCTAGCGACTAGACCATGACATGGTATAAGGATAAGCATAGCCTAAGCAGTACATGGTACACAGCGTGACTTTGCACTCGATGCACCAGGTACACACACAGATTTTCACTTCCTGGTTCTTCGCTGTGTGCTCTTGCAAACAACACACTCACATACACCTCTGGCTTTAGTTCCTGTAAATGGAACTCACGCCTGTGAATTGCAAACAGGTCTTTACCAGCCAGTCTGTTGGGAGCTACATGTGGTCTTGTTGGCACATGAACAACTGTCCTTACACCGTCTTCCTAGCCATACTTGACGATAATTGCAACAAGAGACCATGACTAAAAATGCGAATTGATGGTTTCTTGCCTGATTTCACCAAATACATGTTGAAACTGTTCAGCACTGTTATGTCCACAAGGTGAAAAAACAATTTCTTTGTCAACTTTATACTTTTGCGAATACACTCAACGGCACCAACCATCATGTCACATTTATGTACCATGTCACATTTATCTATATTGTAGTGAATGACACAATCTGGCTTAAACAATTTACCGTCTCTTCCAAACATCATTTTACCAAGTATATCACCAGTATGAATAGTTGTCAACATATTCACTTCACGTCTGTCTTTCCAACAGACTGATAAAATCTTGTCACATTTTCTAAGATGACAATCACCCACAGCAATACTAGTATCAAAAACTGGCATTTCTTTCCTGTGTGTCTTAACAGTGCAACACACTCCCATGTTATGCTCAAGCAGGAACTTTGTTAGCAATGGGCTCATATAATAATTGTCAGTGTACAGAATGTGCCCCTTATTCAGCAGTGGTTCCATGATTGTCTTCCCCACACTGCCATAAAACCTGTGAGGATCTTGAGTGGGTATGTCGACGTCTGTACCGGAATATAATATCATATCCATCACCATTCCGCTTTCACAGTCGCACAGTACAAAGAATTTGAGGCCAAAACTGTGCCGTTTCATTTTGATAGGATGTACTGTTTAAAGAGAAGACGTCCCTTGAAACGAACTAGGGATTCATCAATGACAACATTTTGTCCTGCTACAAAGTAACAAGAAAATTCCATCTGATATCATAAACACTTTTCGCACTTTCCAAAGTCAATCATTTCGATCAACATTTTCAAGTTTTCAAAGTGTAGGCACCATAGTAGTAGTAGTGTCAGGAACCTGTCTCATGACATACTTGTTGAACACTGGGGTTGGAACAGCACAGTTTTTGTTTCAGTAGTCGTGTAAGACGTACGTCATGGAATGTTTCATAAGCATACACAGAGCTAAGAACACACACACAACTCAGCCATGGTGGTGTCCTTCCACACATACCACACGTGAAGCAGGTAAGAAGCCAGCTGCAGTAAGTAGCGCTGCATATTTGTTGGTTTCGTCAACAAGATGTTGCATGAATGGCTCATCAAAATAAGCCATAAAATAATTACTGTGTCATGTCGTCACCTGTATACAGGAAAGTGGGTGTAACACCAACATCAATATCATCAAACTGTGGTTTGTGTGGTACAAAATTATCACAGTTCTCCCACACAAATTCACCCGTGCTCCTTGTACTGACGCCACCAACACGGCCGCCATACCCACGGGTCTGTTTTCTTGAACTAAATCTCTGTTGGCAAGGAAATAAAGCTCTTTTACCTTCTATACTAGTAGGGCGACCAGGGAAAGTAGATGTAGAGGCGATGCTGTCGTCAGTGTCATCATGGGTGGAGACACGGCGGCGCTTGGCAAGGCGTGCTGCTGAGACAGCAAATCTCTGCATAGTAACATCTCCATGGTAGCCGCTACACTAGGTTCATTTATGCTACTTGTATCATAAGCAGTGTCACTGAACCCAGAAAATGATTTATCTACCCTTTCGTTAATAATGAGAGATGACACAGGTGATAATACTGGCAAGACCTGTGAGGCCGCAGCACGCCTTGTGTTCACCCTGTACAGGACATGCTCGCTATATCTTCTGCAGCCTTCTCTGTATCACTTGTATTAGACCTTGTGTTAGGTCTTTATTGTACCTTGGTTCATCAATATCACTACTCTTTTCTTCAAACAATAATGTCTGAATTTCCCCTTAAGACAGAGGTCTTTCAACACTGCGTCCGACATAGGATTGGGAGCTGGAGGCGCGTGCGTCAGCCGCTACTCTATCAGAACTGAACCTACCCATGGCCCTGGGGCATGCTGGAAATTTTTTCGAGATGGCTGCCACTCACTGGAGGCTTCAGCCCTCCATCTCTAACCAACCCACCATGCACGCGTTTATAGTCTTACGATATCCTAAAATCGTTCCAGAGTCGGGTTGCGCAGTGCAGTGGTTAATTACCTCCCTGAAAATAAGGCATTAATTAAACTACCGTAGATTTTAAAAATTCTTTCAATCAGTTAGAGATGTGGTATTGAAAGCAATTCAAACAAACTTTCCTTGTCTACTTCCCTTATTTCAGCAGGATACAGTAAGGAATCGACACTGTTGTTTGGGGACCATGAAGTAGTTTCAAGCAGGAAGATCCACTTGCCTCTTTCAATTTCTTTACGGCTACTAAAAAGGTCACAAGCAAGTTGACCAAAGGAACTCAACATCTGGTTCTTGGATGATAGCACTCTGACAGGAACACAGGAGTCCCTTCTAGGGGATCTACTGCTGATGAAATCTAAGTGAGAGGAGTTTGGACTCACCCTAAATCCATTAAAGTGCAAGATCATCTCATCTAGCCAACCATAGATGTGCAGTAGTCAAAACCGTCTAACCAGGAGCCCCAGTGATCGCTCCAGCCAACAGTGTCCAGCTAGGGGCACTTTAAGGCTCAAACGTCAATTGATATTGTTTTTCGAAAAAAAAAAAACGACCTGAGAAGGATAGAAGAAAGAATAGGTGTTTTGGATGCACTCCTCCTCACAAAGTACAAGCTTTTAATGAATTTGATTGGAAAGACTTGCTGTTAGGCAAAGAAGTAAATGAGATGTACATCTAGTTTTGTGAAATGCTGTATGGGATAAAGGCACAAACAAATTTATACCAAAACAGATGCAGAACTAGGAAACAGGATTGGTTCAACAGAAATTGTGAGAGAACCAAACACCAAAAGACAAAAAAGGATTCAGTGTAGGAAAAGGTCAATCTCTAAAACATAACAGCGATACAAAGAAGCATGAAACAACTATGTACATTGAGAAGAGAGACAGAAATAAATTTTGAGAAAGGAAGAGAACTAGACACAATAAGAATTCCAGAGAACATAGAGCATATAGGCATATAGAGGCATCTAGAGACAAAGTGGAAAAAATGCTCAAGGAGATAAGTAAAAACAAAGCAGTTGGCCCACATAGAGTTTCACTTTGGGGTCTGAGAGAATGCACACCAGAGTTCAGTATTCCACTTCAGTTGATTTTTCAGGCATCAATGTGTACAGGAGTCCTAGGAGATATGTGGAAAAAGGCTTAACTGTTCCAGTCTACAAAAGTGGCAGCAGGGTAGTCCCCCTCAATTATAAACCTGTATCATTAACTTGTAATAGTCAAAATAGTGGAAAAAAATTAAAATTAAATGGGTAGAACACCTGGAGAAGAATGATATAATAACAGACAAACAGTATGGTTTTCGATTTGCAAGATCCTGTGTAATGAATTTACTTAGTTTCTATGATTGAGCCACAGAGATTTTACAAGTTTGACTGCATCTATCTGAACCTAAAAAAAGGCTTTTGACAGTTCCACATAAGAGGTTGGTCTGGAAACTGGAACATATTGGAGAAGTGACAGGTAGGCTTCTAACATGGATGAAAAATTTTCCGACAGAAAAATGAGGGGAGTAATCAGAGGCAATGTATCGAACTGGAGAAATGTCACGAGTGGAGTACCACAGGTTCAGTTCCTATATCGGTAATGTCCGTTGTCTACATAAATGACCTACCAAAAGGAATACAGAATTAGATGAACATGTTTGCTGATGATGCCAAGATTCTAGGGAAGATAAGAAACTTAGACAATTGTCATGCTGTTCAAGAAGACCTGGACAGAATAAGTGTATTAAGCACCAATTATAACATGGCATTTATTCACATGAAATTATCATTTACAGATAAAATATTATTATTATTATTATTATTATTATTATTACTAAAATGTTGAGTATTACAAAATAGGCCACACACAACCTACAAATTATGTGAAAAGGCTTTACAAAATTCTGATAAAAGAAATCTAGGGGTGGTTCTAGATAGAAAGCTATCACCCGAGGACTACATAAAGAACATTGTCTGAATGGAGCCTATGCTACGCTTCCAAATTTCAGAATTGCTTTTAAACACATGGATGGTGAAATATTAAAGAAACTGTTCACGACGAAACTGTTCACAAATAGCTTTATGAGACCAAAGCTGGACTATGCAGTGGTTGTATGGTGCCCATATCTTATGAAGCACATCAACAATCTGGAAAAGGTGCAAAGACATGCAACTAAATGTCTCCCGGAACTGAAAGACAAGAGCTACAAGGAGAGGTTAGAGGCATTAAATATGCCAAATTTAGAAGGTAGAAGACAAAGAGGTGATATGATTAATACATACAAAATAGTAACAGGAATTGACAAAATTGATAGGGAAGAATTCCTGAGATCAGGAACTTCAAGAACAAGGTGTTCAAGATTTAAGCTAACTAAACAAAGCTGTCGAAGAAATGTAAGAAAATTAACTTTCGCAGAGTGGTAGACGGTTGGAACAAGTTAGATGAGAAGGTGGTGGAGGCCAAAACCATCAGTAATTTCAAAGTGTTACATGACAAAGAGTGCTGGGGGAGACGGGACACCAAGAGCGTAGCTCTCATCCTGTAATTACACTTATAAATAAATAAATAAATAAATTTTTATTCAGGTAGGGTACATACATACAAGGTAAGATACAAAGTTGATGGATTTATAGATAGAGCTAGTACATACAATGCCTACTTATAATTTTTTTAATTTACAAACCAACAATAATTACTTAGGTAATTACACACACTAACACACTCTTTAACACGGGTGGAACAAAAAAAAAAAAAAAGGACACAGATGTAAACTTAGTACCCAGATGAGCCACAGAGACATTATAAAGAATTTTTTAAGTATCAGAGTATTTAACAAATGGAATGCATTAAGTAATGATGTGGTAAAGGTAGACTCCATACACAGTTTCAAATGTAGATATGATAGAGCTCAGTAGGCTCAGGAATCTGTATACCGGTTGATTGACAGTTGAGAGGCGGGACCAAAGAGCCTGAGCTCAACCCCGGCAAGCACAACTAGGTAAGTACACATGAACATCATGGGCTGAAGGGTAGACTGCAGGCTGGCTAAACTCGATATAGCGACCTAAAATAAATGGGTCCTTGGAACAAGAGACAGTGGATCCACAAAACATTCCCTGCATTCCAGACACTAGTGGAGAGATAACAGCAAAAGGTCATCTTCCTTTTGCCATTGGAAGGTCATCATATCATCATCTTCCAGCCAGAGCCTCTGCCCTGACCTTTCTCAGTTCTTTGACAAGGCTTTGCCAAAGGCCTAATCAAGAACTGATTTATTGAACACTATTTGTATTGAAAGTGAAGATACGGTATAGGCCTGTGTGTTTTATAGGAAAATTGAGAAAGAATTTCCATTTATTGACAGCTTGAGTCATCAATAGCTGCTACGTAAAATGCTCGCAATGCTGCTTGCCACTTGTCAAATATACTTGAAAACGGATGTTGAAAAAATATGCAACACCACAGCAAATATATTATTTGCTTAACACAAACTACTGTTAAATGCTAGAAAATATAAATTGCTATAATTTGTTGCAGTTTATAAGCTTTTCTGTTGTGGCATTTAACCTCAATAGTGCTTGAAAATATTTTTGGAATTCATTGTGAAACATGATTCTTGAAGCATCACAGGTCACAAGGCCAGCAAGTGTTGCTACACCAAGTACTGTACAATGATTCAGTTTCACCCTTTCTTTTTTTGTGTTGGATGTTTGGAATGGGCTTTATTGTTCTGATGTATGTATGTATGTACTGTATGTATGGTTAAGAGTGATGGAATCATTGCTTAACCAATACCCTGTGTAGTGCAGAATTTTCCCTGATATATCAGGAATTATTACACAGCAGTATCATAAGAACCTTACTACTGTTAGAATTATGTGCAAACTGCTAGAATTAAGTGTCATTTTCCAATGTTTTAAATCCATAATAATTGTATTAAACCTCTGTCACCTCCCACAAGGTTTTCAGGAACCTGCAGAAATGCAGTGGGTAATTTATCTAAGTAATCTCTAAAATTATTCTAAACATTCTGTTTTCTTCTTTACATCTTACCAGGACTGGTCTCTACGCAGTGGAGTTGTTAAAAAGGTTTTTATGAAAGCAATATAAGTTTTTTATCTTTCCTTCATTTGATAGAAAATTAGTAGAGGATATATTGCATAGAGGTAGAGGTAGCATTCATAGATACTGTTGGATACTTTGACATTTTTGCATGTAGGACTGAACAATTCCTCACTGTGCAGCAAGGATATGACAGTATCAAGAAGTTTGGTTCTATTTATTATTTCAATACAGTATTCAGATTCAGTCCAATTGCATTTGTGAATGATGCCAATATGTTTCATTATCCTCACTTGTGCATGATCGATTCTGTGAGTCACATTTAGAATTAATGATTATTGCAAGACTGAATTTAATTTTAACGTCAGTAGCAGTTGTAATTATGCTTCTAATAACCTATAATACTGCTGACAATGCAACCAATCTTAACAACCACACCTCCCATTAATTGAGTTATTTCATGTACAAAATTTATGATTAGTGAGACTGATTGAGGACGACTGTGACGTTGGCCAAGTTTTACTGATAAAACTTGTTCTAAACTTTTTGCTTCTCCAGAAATCCAGTTGCACATTTATGTAATTATGCTGACTCATATATTTAATGTGACTGACATTTATTTAATTACAGACTGTCATTAATGTAATTATTTTGACTGCCATTTATTCAATTAATGTAATTGTCACTTAGTTGCTGTTACTGCCACTTCCCTCCCCTTTTCACAAAAAATATATTTATCTTTGCTGTGTTAATTCTTAATATAATTAAACATACAACAAATGCTGATTTATCTATTAGTGTAGCACTTACCACAGCTCATCCTTAATATCTTGCGTGTATTTACCTATGTAAAATATCATTGGATGTTCTTTGCTTACTGAATTGGTCGTCTGATAAAACTTTAGTACATTAATTGGATGGGCGTGTACACATTTGATGAACAATCATTGTTGTACCGTGCAAATAATTGTTCTAATAGAATGCTTTTTCTGTGTGTGTGCGTATACCTTAAAGAGCTGGCTGTGTATCTGATATTTAAATTAATATCATTCTTGCTGTGTATCAGTAACATTTTCGTAACACTTTAAAAGACTAATATAACATTAGTTTCATATTATTTGCTTAACCCTTACACTTATAAGCAGGAGTACCTAGTAATAATAAATCCACTCACCCACTGAGATAAACGAACTTTACAAAGCAAATAGTATCAACAGCCTGTAATGTTTGTCCAGTCATCTAGCCATCAGAAACAGACCAGGTAACTGCTGCTGTCTGTCAGTGATAGAGGAAAATGTCACCCAAGCAGTAGACTGTCAAGAATAATGTTTCTGTTACAGACTCATTCACCATTATGAATGTAGCAATAATATATAGTGCATATAAGCAGAATTCTTTATACTACTGTACATATAAAACTTTTTTAATGATTTGCGTAGTATTCAATATTTACAAAAATTCAGCAGTTATTTAGATTATAAATGTTTTCAAGACCTCAAAAATATAGGACCAAAATATGTGCTGCAGTGAAAGGGTTAAACAAACAAATGCATCTAACAAAAATCAATTTTTAATAATAGGCCTACATTGCAGTTTAAATGTATATTATATATATATATACTGTAATATATATATATATATATATGTATATATATATATATATATATATGTCGTACCTAGTAGCCAGAACGTACTTCTCGGCCTACTATGCAAGGCCCGATTTGCGTAATAAGCCTAGTTTTCTTGAATTAATATATTTTCTCTATTTTTTTTCTTATTAAATGATAAAGCTACCCATTTCATTATGTATGAGGTCAATTTGTTTTTAATGGAGTTAAAATTAACGTAGATATATGACTGAACCTAACCAACCCTACCTAACCTAACCTAACCTAACCTATCTTTATAGGTTAGGTTAGGTAGCCGAAAAAGTTAGGTTAGGTTAGGATAGGTAGGTTAGGTAGTCGAAAAATAATTAATTCATTAAAACTTGGCTTATTAGGCAAATCGGGCCTTGCATAGTTGGCAGAGAAGTGCGTTCTGGCTACTAGGTACGACATATATATATATATATATATACATATATATATATACATATATATATATATATATATATATATATATATATATATATATATATATATATATATATATATATATATATATATATATACACACACACACACACACACATACATACATATATAAGAGGATACCACCACTGGTGCAATTGTGAGGGAGCCATAGCAAATAAAGGCTGTGTGTGTGTGTGTGTGTGTTTGTTTTGGTGTTATTGAATATAAACAAAGAAAAGTTAGACTGAAGATTCCGATGTGAATATTGTCTTATTTTAGGTACTTGACTTGGTAAAGAAACTTAAAAATTACCTCTCTAAGTGCATTTTACATTTGTACTGAGCTTGTTGCACTTTCCCAGGTGTAAACTTAGAACCTTCAGAGCTCATGGGGAAATGAATATAAAAGATCAATACAGCAAAATAATTTATGTATTATAAATAATTTAAGACCAGAACAGCACTACTTTGCCCAGTAAGCAAGGACCATTTTGCTTTACAGCTAGAGTGATTTTGCAGATTTTGAAATATTTCTTTGGAAATTTGTTCAGTCTTAATATTAACATATAACAATATTGGTACAGTATTATATTGATAACCTGAAATTTTTACTTGGGCCTACTTTTACCTACATTAGACAGTGTAAGGCTTTCACCATCAATTAGGCAAGGAAATACTGCTCTGAGTAACTTACAATTAAGGTTTAGCTCAGGGGCTAGTGAATTAAATGAATTGGCTGAAAGTAATGATAGCTATGGCACAATCAGCCAGGCAAGCAATGACCTCACCAAGGACTACAAAGTCCTTGGGAACCCTAAGTTGCCTGTCAGGGATGGGTGCCTTTCTTCCTATTGGTGCTATATTGGAACCCTTTAAACTCATAAATCAACTTATAACCACCTTCAGGCTATAACTAAAACATTCCTTGCATCACACAATAGGTCACATACAGTATATATCATAATTGCATGGGCGCCATTAATATAACATAACCGTTTAAGGTTATGTTATATTAATTTACTATGCATAACATTCATATCCAGTACCATAAAGCACCAGATATGAATGCTGAGGAAATTAAAGTCCTGAATGACACTTCTGTTTAAGCACCAACTTTCACTGAAGCTGGGACAGTGTTAACTATTGGCTGGTAGAAATCAATAAAGGTATGTAGTAATACTAAAGCTGTTCACAACATTTGTGAGACTGAAATTAAAATATGTAGCAGTTGTGTGGTGTCCATATCTCAAGAAACAAACTATGAATGATGCAAAGACATGCCACTAAATAGCTTCCAGAAGTAAAAAAAAATACAAACTATGAGGAGAGGCTGGAGGCATTAAATACAGTATGCAAAGCTGAAAGATAGAAGAAAAATGTGGTAAAAAGATCACTATGTACAAAAAACCAGCATTGAATGTAATGAAATGCCATTTTCTGGGTGAGAACTGGAGGCTCCCCAGAGCTATCCGGGCTGACATGAAGGTATTAGACCCTGGCATCGGTCAAGCGAATGGAGTTTTTAGGCCTACTGGGGACCATGAGCCCGAACCTGTTTAGACCACCTGACCAGAAAGGCACGAGGATTAATGGCCTATAGTAACCCCCGTGTGGTTGGAAGCATTTTATGTATGTTTGCCATCGACCAGGTCAGGCACCCAGAAAGGTAAGCACCCCAAAACAAATCCCTATTCTGGTTAAGAAATTGCTACTGAAAGCCAAACTAGTAGACAGAACTCCTTAAACGAAAACGAGCAAACGAGCATGACATCACAAGGTTCATGAGCATGACATCACCCCCGTGCCGGCTGTGGTGGGTATGTGGGTTTGCGGGCCGCTCCAAGCAACAGCCTGGTGGACCAAACTCTCACAAGTCAAGCTTGGCCTCAGTCTGGGCTTGGGGAGTAGAAGAACTCCCAGAACTCCATCAACCAGGTAATCACCACGTCACCGTGCTGCTATCTGCACAGCTCCCCCTTCCCCAGGAGGGGGAAGGAGGAACCCCAGATCCCCGGGCTTGGGGAGTAGAACAACTCCCAGAACCCCATCAACCAGGTATCAACCAGGTGTTCCGCGTTCTTTCTCGCAGATTCTACGCCGTTTTCGCTCCTCTTCTCTCTGGTCATAACCCCCAAGATACTTGGGGGTGTTCTTGATTTTTATGGGTGGAGCAATCTATTAGTTCTTTTCTCTGCTTATGGGTGTGGGGCAGCTCTGAGTGGCGTCTCTTCTGCCTCTATACTGCATGCACCTTGTCTTCTACTGGGCCTGCACCTCTGAAAATTCTCCACTAGGGATACTCCTGCTACATTGCACGGCTCAGCTGTGTCGTGACACGGTGTTGTCTCAGTTCGGCAGGTAAGTTTGTACTGTATGGCGACTCTGTCGGCCCAGTGCTGGCTCTCGGTTTTAGTGGGGTTCTCACCTAGTTGTACTCCACTAGTTGTGCCTGCGGTGGTTGGGCTCTGGCTCTTTGGTCCCACCTTTCCACTGTCATTCACCGGTGTACAACTTTCTGAGCCTACTGTGCTCTATCTTCTCTACATTTGAAACTGTGTATGAAGTCTGCCTCATCACGTCTCTTCCTCGTGCATTCCCCTTACTGACTACTCTGACACTGAAAAAGTTCTTTCTAATGCCTCTGTGGCTCCATTGGGTGTTCAACTTCCCCCCGTGTCCCCTTGTGCATGTACCACCAGAGTTACATAATTAGTCCTTGTCTACTGTCGATTCCCCACTTGACAGGGAAGTGTCATTGGCACCTAACAGGGGTGTTTGGTGTTGTGTGTTTTGCTTGGACCCTTTGCATGTGTCTTGCAGTCACTTCCCTTTGTCCTTGTATCTTGTTCTTCATTGTACTGGGGGCCTCTGCCCCATGTTTCGGTGCTGTTTAAGTTTTTCGGTGCCTGGGTCTTTTCTCGATATTTGGACACTCCTTCGTTCCCCCGGTCCGTGCTTTGTGTCCTCCTTCCTTGACTCGGTCTCTGATCTCTGGGCACTCCTTCCTTGCCTATCTTCAGTGCCTGGCTGCACCCTAATATCCATGGTGTGTCTGTGCATGTGCAACCACCTGCATCACACGTTGTGGTTGGTCATGTACATTGTGTTACCGGCTGCTACTTGGTCCGTCTCCGGTCTTTTCCTTGCCTATTTCTGTTTTTCCTACCTCTATGCTGTGCTTGGCTGTGTATCATGGTCGGTGCTTATTGGTTTTACTGTTGTTAGGTTCTGGGGTGGGGGCCTCTGTCCATGTTCAGTTCCCTGATTTTGGACTACCCCAGTGTTCGGTTTTGGTACCGAGTTCTTTCACTTTTTCCTTGCATCTCACTGCAGGCTTCTGTGTTCCAATGTCTGCGGGAGGTTGCGAACTTCTGAACACTGCTCCTGCCTTAATGGTTCTTTTTCTTGGGACAGGGGTTGCTAGGGTTCCGGTCTTAATTACGGTTATTTGGGCCTCGTCATGGGTAGTTCGTTTGGTGCAGCCTAATTCTTTTCAGGTGCTGTTTGGGTCTGCTGTTTTCCAGAGGGGTCCTTGGGTCACTGCTTGGTTGGTCAGGCCGGGGGGGCTTCCTTTGTTGTTTGGTTGCGGCTCTTTGCTGTTCTCTGCACGTCTTGGCCTCTGGGGCCATGGACATGTTTTGGTTTGCCCGGGTTCCCTTCCGTCCCTCCTTCCTGTTCTGGGGTTCGGGTCTCCCGAGTCGTCTGCATGGTCTTTTTGTTTCATTTATGGTCTTTTTTTTATGTTCGAGCACGTGGCATCCGCCTCCCGGATCCTTCCCTCTTTTTCTTATCTGTGGTGAGGTAGCTCCTGGGAGCCGACAGGGCTCTCCCCATAAAACCAGCTTTGAATATAATGAAACACCATTTTCTGGGCGAGTCCCGGAGGCTCCCCGGCATCCCTCCCTCCCTCCGGTCGGCAATGTTTTTCGTGGTTTTTGACATCCAGCCTAAGAACTGAAGGTTGGGTTGCCAGCAGGTGGGTCTGGGGCTCCACCTTCCCCCTCCTGTGGAGGGGGGAGTTGCGCAGACACCGGCGCGGTGACACGATGACGTCATGCTCGTTTCCTAATTTTCGTTAGGCGAGTTCTGTCCACTTGTTCGGCCTTCGGTCACAATAGTTTTACCAGAATAGGGGTTTGTTTTGGGGTGCCTATCCCGGTCGATGGCAGACATAGAATGCTCCCAACCACAGGGGGGGGGGGGGGGGGGGGGGGGGGGTTTAGGGAGGTCTCTATAGGTTATTGCTCCTTGTGCCTCACTAGAGGGGGGGCCAGTTTAAGGCTCGTTGTCCCCGGTAGGCAAGAACTCCATGCATTGACTGATGCCAGAAAGTTATACATATCCATTCAGCCTGGATAACTCCTGGGAGCCTCCGGGACTCACCCAGAAAATGGCATTTCATTACATTCAATGCTGGTTTTTATTCACTTTCCCTCTGAGTCTGCGGATGAACCCAGCAAAAGACATTAAAGCTCATTAAAGGTGTAAAATGAACTTTGCAGAGTTAATTTTTCAGTTTCCTTCCCAAGTGAAGAACCACCTAAGAAATACTGTACATCAGAAGATTCATACCCAAGTCATTGATCTAACCCAACATTTTTTATCAAACGTTTACTGACGTAAACTTTTGATGTGTTGAACTAATGCACTAGAGCAAATATTCGGGGCTTCTTTGCATTTGTGTACTTATTTTATTACATATATATATATATATATATATATATATATATATATATATATATATATATATATATATATATATATATATATATATATATATATATATATATATATATGAAACAGTTTACTAAAGATTACAGTTTAATCTTCTTCTTAACTAGTATCCCGTTTTCCAGCAGATTTACGTTCGTGCCCAGTTTGACTATGATCCCCTCGAGGATGACTTGATTCCTTGTGCGCAAGCAGGCATTGCCTTCAAGACTGGAGATATTTTACAGGTTTGTTAAAAGCAGTCTAATGACAAATGTAAAATATGCCAATATCAACAAGATATACAGTACTGTTGATCTGCATAGCATTATGTTGAAAAATGTCATAAACCTAGTACTGTACTGTATTGTCTATTTACAAAATTGAATTTTTATACTTTGCCATTGCCCTACAGATTATATCCAAGGATGACCACAACTGGTGGCAAGCAAAAAAAGATCCCAATGGTACTGCTGGACTTATTCCATCACCAGAGCTTCAAGAATGGCGCACTGCCTGCCTAGCCATGGAGAAGAGTAAACGTGACCAAGGTAATGAAACTGTCTTTATCTATCCAAAATGTATATTTAGACTTACATTCATGTAAATATAAAATTCTTAGCAAGAACCTACATTCTTCTACTGTATGTTCCAATACCCATTTTTATGAAATAATGGTAGAAATATAAAATACAGTACTGTAATTACAAAATGGTAAATAAGTTGCTAACAGAATATAATGCAATATTAGTACAGTAAGTGAAAGCTAAATAATAATAATAAGATAGAGGTGGAAAGCTTTAGAGCAGAAACAGTTAAACATAGTACTGTACTGAGTAAAGGATAATAATGCATGTCAGAATAACAAAGTGGCCAAACTATTTAGTGTCACACTCTTCTGGTGCTGGTGTACATTTAAATCGCCTTTAATTACCAATAGAAATACTCTACAGTATAACTCACATATTTGTTGTTAGTGAGTTATATTGTCTACAGTATAGTGGTTTCATCCATAAAGTGCAGCTATTACCAGAAGTAAAATTCCAGTTGATAATTAAAATCACCATATAACTGAATTACCATGTGGAGAGCAACTTATGACAGTAACTGCACTTAATTTAAGTGTTAAATATGGTATATCACAAAGGTGCTAAAGGTCTTATGAGAAAAACTTACCCAATGTGCGTATGTTAGCGTTTCCAGGTGCACCCTCGTAGCATCTTCATTGGTTATGATACTTGCCAAAATTGCTCATCATAATTAGAAAATTTATAAGGTCTGAAACTTAAGTATTCATCTACATTAACTCTACCATTATCCTGTGGATTGCTAACAAATAAATATTTTGTTTTGGGAGGATCTTTTGATTTTTGTTTAAACCAGTTAGCTACAATAACATGTTTCGCATTTTTCTGATAAATTAGCATGACGATTGACCTCTTCACCTTAAATTTAATATTTTGTATTCCAGTGAACTGTTCATTCTTTGGTCGGAAGAAAAAACAACATAAAGACAAGTATCTTGCTAAACACAATGCTGTGTTTGACCAACTCGATCTTGTCACCTATGAAGAAGTCATAAAACTGCCCTGTAAGTTGATTCTTAACAAAATTTGTTATTCCACAATTACTATCTAACTTGACCCAAGAGTAAATTTAGTCATAATGATCAATACTGCATATCACAGCTACTCTTGAATACATTAAGCCTGGAAAGAAAATGTAAAGTGATGTCACTTTAACAGTACTGTAGCCTAATAATATGCTGCACTGTATAACCTCACACAGCAAGTGAATATTGAGACAAAATGCCTGTTAAGCACCTACATTTTAAGGTATAGTAATGTAGTCAACTTAAAAATTTCAGAGCACAAAATAATTATTTTGCTATACAGTACATATTTTTCGAGTAACAAATAAGGGTTGCATCCTCAGCATTTCGACGAAAGACATTGGTGCTGCTTGGTGCGCATGGCGTTGGGAGGCGACACATCAAGAATACTCTCATAGCTTCACATCCAGACAAATATGCTTATCCAATTCCACGTAAGTGTCTCATAAACAAAATTATTATAGAGTTAAGAACATCGCAATAATACACTTTTACATTATAGTAGATACGGTTGTAAATTTATATACTGTATATTTTTTAACCTTAAAAGTTATTGCAGGAACTTTCATTCTAGAGAGCTCTGTAGAATCAACTCAGATTTTTGTTAATATCATTTACTGGATCCTATTAGTTGATATTTTCTAATGATAATTACAGTATAGTGCCTTCCTTTGTTACTATTGTATAGCCTAAACTCAAAAGGACTGGACTGTTTCTGTATGTTCAGAGAACTGCCTGATTTTGCTTCTAGAAGTCTATGGTAATATGCCACATACATTCATTGTTTGATAACAAGGTGCAGTATGCCTACTTTCTAATCCAGATGAATCTTATTTTTTATATCCAAGTCCAAGTGGATATTGGATATACATTCTTACATAATTTTTCATACCAGTATAAGAAAGAAAAAACTTACAGAGCATAGCAAATGTTGGCCATTATGAGTTTTTTTTTTTTATTTATATGTATATACAAGAGTCCTTACATTCTTGTACAGCCACTAGCACGCATAGCATTTCAGGCAAGTCCTTAATCCTAATTTTCCCCGGAATATGATCCGCCAAATCGTTTAACAACCAGGTACCCATTTTACTGTTGGATAATCAGAGGCTACAGTTAAGGATTGATGCCCAGTAAATCCTCCCAAGCCAGGATACAAACTCAGGCCAAAGCGCTCGCGAAACACCAGGCGAATGTCTTGCCACTTTGCCACGGGGACTGTAGATATAATACTGATGGTGTCAGTGTGGTATAAGCTATTAAACTGCTTATACATATGAAAATGTCTTTAAAATAACTAATTCTAGATGACACTGATAATTTGGATTTAATATAAAGATAAAAATAGGTGTAATGGAAAAGAAGGAAATTTTGTATCTTAGTGGAAAATTTAAAATATTTTGGATAATATTTATTAGAATAATGTAGGTGTCAGTGTTGTGAAGAAGAAAAACATATTAGGGACAGTAGACAGAATGGTATGAGGGAGTTCTGGCTCGAAAATCAAGAGCTGCGGACATGCTTGTTTGGTTTAAAGTGAACAGATCTTTCTGGAGATAGTCTCTCACTGTTAAGTTAGAGGGAAATTTCTAGGAAGGAATTAAGCATCAGTTGTAAATAAATACATGCAGGGGGGCATCAAGCACATAAATTTGGGGGTATATTCAGAAAAACATTAGTTATCAACAATATGTATTTATTGCTTTTAACAATACAATGTATGTAAAGTTAATTTAAATCTACATGTACCTCTTACATGCATATTCAATAGCATTTATGGGGGGCCATGTGTCCCCATTGGTGTTATGTACTGGATAAATATTTACAGAAGCAATTTTCTGCTCTGAACAGAGAAAACTGACTTTTGCATTGAGGCATATTTATCTAGCTTGTCATACTGCTCACTAATGTAAAATCTCATATTGCAGATACTACACGAAGTCCACGAAAGGATGAAGAAAATGGAAAGAATTACTACTTTGTGTCTCATGATGAGATGATGGCTGACATTGCAGCAAATGAATATTTGGAATATGGTAAGAATATAAATTACTTGTTTCAGAATTTTTTGCTGTCATTTTAAAGTTAAGAAAGCAAGTATAAAAATAAATCCATTATCAGTGTTAATATATGTATGTGAAAATTTACATTTACCACATTTTTCCAATATTAGCATATCTAATGCAGAATGTTTTTCAGTTTCCAGAGGCATATGCTATCAGCACTACTAGCTCTTAGCTGGAAGCAATAATGTATTTCACAATACTGAATACTATTACTGCCTTCCATCTCCTAACCTTTAAATGATAATGCAAATTCTGTCTTGTCCAGTTATAAAGCAGCAACCAAGTCAGGCTTTTATTATGAGATGCTTCATTCATAAGACCTGAGATTAGATGAATTTATTGTTACAAACTGAAGGAGAATAATTACTTGAACTCTCACATGACTACAGTACTTATCAGAACTTTTTTGATCAAAGTTCTTTTATCAATCGAATAATTATAATTCTTTAATAATTTTTTTTATAAAAGTCCTTGCACATTTAAAGTTAAAATCTATAGACATCACCCAAGCCTTAAAGTATGTGAAGCACAGTAGAAAGCTACTGCCCAATCTGCTTATCCTCTCAAATTTAGAAGCTCCTTGAGAGCTAATTCTGAGGAAAGCAATCATTATTCCTATCACAGTGCAGTCTCAACAAATCATCCCAACATGGATTTATGGAAAACATATCTAGCCTAACAAATTGGCTCACTTTTCATGGCACAGTAACCAACTACACAGACCAAGCCTTCCAGATGATGTGCTTAATGAACCTAGAGCCTAAGTTTCCGAACTATGACCCTCGAGTTCCATTCAGGTGGTCTGAGATCCACAGAGAGGTGGCACAAGAGGATGGCATGAGGATGAGGGAAGGGGGATGTTCCCTCCATGCTGGATTTGATATTTGCCAGGAAAGAGGAAGAGAGATTTGACATCTTCCTCCCTTGGATAAAAGTGACCATGTCTTTTTGGGAATAAAGTATGCAATGCATTACATTCTGGAAGAAAATAAGGAGGTTGAAGAAGCTGAAAAACCTGATTTCAAGAAAGGGCATTATGGGGGACTTATGATATTTCTTTAAGGAACTTGACTGGAAAGACTTGTTGTTAGGACATGAGGTAAATGAGATGTATGTCAAGTTTTGTGAAATATATGATAAAGGCACAACAAAATTTATACCAAAACGAGAGATGCAGAACCAGGAACCAAGATTGGTTCAACAGAAATTGGGAGAGGGCCAGAGACCAAAAGACACAAAAATGGAACCAATATAGGAAGAGGCCAAACATACCAGCGATACAAAGATGCGAGAAACAACTACATGGCAGTGAAGAGAAGGGCAGAAAGAAATTTTGAAAAAGGGATAGCGGACAAATGTAAAACAGAACCAGGCCTATTCTATGAATTCATAAACAACAAATTGCAGGTAAAGGATAACATTCAGAGGTTGAAAATGGGAAACAGATTCACGGAAAATGAAAATGAAATGTGTGAAACATTAAATGAAAAGTTCCTGTGTGTTTGTGCAATATGAAATCTTCATGAACCAGACTCAATAAGAATTCCAGAGAACAACATAGAGGTGTCTAGAAACGAACTGGAAAAAATGCTCAAGGGGCTAAAGAACAAAGCAGTTGGTTCAGATGGGATTTCTCCATGAGTTCTAAGAGAATGTGCACCTGAGCTCAGCATTCCACTTCAACTGATTTTTCAGGCATCCCTGTGTACAGGAGTTGTAGCTGATATGTGGAAAAAAGCTAACATAGTTCCAATCTACAAAAGTAACAGCAGGGAAGACCCCCTCAATTATAGACCTGAATCATTGACAAGTGTAATAGTCAAAATATTGAAAAAAATAATTACAAATAAATGGGTAGAACACCCGGAGAAAAAGATATAATATCAGACAGTCAATATGGTTTTCGATCTGGAAGATTCTGTGTAGCGAATTTACTCATTTTCTATGATCGAGCCACAGAGATTTTACAGGAAAAAGATGGTTGGGTTGACTGCATCTATCTGGACCTAAAAAAAGACTTTCGACAAAGTTCCACATAAGAGGTTGTTCTGGAAACTGGAACATATTGGAGGGGGTGACAGGTAAGCTTCTAATATGGATGAAAAATTTTCTGATAGAAAAATGAGGGCAGTAATCAGAGGCAATGTATCAGATTGGAGAAATGTCACAAGTGGAGTAGCACAGGGTTCAGTTCTTGCACCGGTTATGTGCACTGTCTACACAAACGATCTACCAGATGGACTACAGAATTATATGAACATGTTTGCTGATGATACTAAGATAATATGGAAGATAAGAAACTTAGATGATTGTCATGCCTTCAAGAAGACCTGGACACAATAAGTGTATGGAGCACCACATGGCAAATGGAATTTAATGTGAATAAATGCCATGTTATGGAATGTGGAATAGAAGAACATAGACCCCCACACAATCTATAAATTATGTGCGAAATCTTTAAAACATTCTGATAAAGAAAGAGATCTAGGGGTGGTTCTAGATAAAAAAAACTCATCTGAGGACCACATTAAGAACATTGTGCAAGGAGCCTATGCTACACTTTCTAACTTCAGAATTGCTTTAAACACATGGATGGAGAAATATTAAAGAAATTGTTTACGACTTTTGTTAGACCAAAGCTGGAATATACAGCGGTTGTATGATGCCCATATCTTAAGAAGCACATCAACAAATTGGAAAAGGTGCAAAGACAGGCTACTAAGTGGCTCCCAGAACTGAAGGACAAGAGCTACGAGGAGAGGTTAGAAGCATTAAATATTCAAAAACTAGAAGTTAGAAGAAAAAAAGGCATATGATCACTATGTACAAAATAGTAACAGGAATCAATAAAATTGATAGGGAAGAATTCCAGAGACCTGGAACTTTAAGAACAAGAGGTCATAGATTTAAACTAACGAAACAAAGCTGCCGGAGATATATAAGAAAATTCACTTTTGTAAACAGAGTGGTAGATGGTTGGAACAAGATAGGTGAGAAGGTGGTGGAGGCCAAAACAGTCAGTAATTTCAAAGCGTTATATGACAGAGTGCTGGGAAGACGGGACACCACAAGCGTAGCTCTCATCCTTTAACTACACTTAGGTAATTACAAGTGGTCATTCAGCTAAACAAATCTCTGGCACAACCCCATCTGGACTACTGTGTGCAAGCGAGGAGACCTCACCTTCATAACTGCATAGTCGCTTTAAAAAAAATGTACTACAGAACACCAAATACTACCTCAGAACTAAGTCAACTATCATATTAGGAATGGTTGAGGATCTCTGGACTATAAACACTACAAACCAGATATGATGGAGCTGATCTTGTCAAAATCTTTAAAATACTGATATTGGAAGATTTTAATCCAGACCACTTCTTTAAAAAGTTCAATGTAACTCACAAGTGGCAGCAGCAGCAAGTTCAACAAACCACAATGTAGGACAGAAAACAGTAGAGGCTTTTCACCCATAGGGTAATAAAGCCATGAATCACAAATGCCAAGATAGTACTCCAGTTCAAAAATCAACCAAAACAATTATATTTGACAAGCTGCCGGTGTTCTGTCCTCATCAAGGACTCATCAGTGATGGCCCTCATGTAAACTCAAGTAACAGTGGCTAGAGAAGCATAATAAATTTAAATAGTTAAGGAAGTCACAAATCACAATGACCAGATGAACATTCAGCATGAAATTAAAACAAACTTATCACAAATACAAAACAGGTCCAAAATGCAGTAGACTAGACACAGGTTACTAATAATTTGTGGATGTACTGTAAAGACAAACAGTATGCGTTTAAGGGCTTTACAAGAATGTATTGTAAGAAAGAAATAGTGTCAATAGAGAAAGGCCACAGAAGAAAAAGCTTTACAAAATTGTATAGGTGTAGTGGTGTAGACCCTCACAACAAAGGAAAATGTCTCACTGCAGAAGAATTAGCAGATATGAGAAGGATAATAAAATATCATCCTTCTGTTTTGAGGGGAGCCGGTCGGCCGAGCGGACAGCACGCTGGACTTGTGATCCTGTGGTCCCAGGTTCGATCCCGGGCGCCGGCGAGAAACAATGGGCAGAGTTTCTTTCACCCTATGCCCCTGTTACCTAGCAGTAAAAATAGGTACCTGGGTGTCATTCAGCTGTCACAGGCTGCTTCCTGGGGGTGGAGGCCTGGTCAAGGACCGGGCCGCAGGGACACTAAAAAAGCCCCGAAATCATCTCAAGATAACCTCTCAAAAAGGGGGCCAAGACAGATTGCTGAAATACACAAAAATAACACATGACGAAGGGAGGTTGTGGTCACTAAGAAGGGACCTCTCAAAGACAAAAATTAAATAAAAAAATTGAATCAAAAGCATTTACAGTAGTTGTTTTTTGTTCCTAGATGATTGGGTTTGAGCCAGTGAAGTGAAATATTAAAGTCATTATATTAAATTAACAAGAAGTGATTCAAAACAGGAAAGAGTTGTGACAATTTAAGACTACGGCATGAAAATAGATACAGAGAGTTTGCAAACACTATTGTAATTGATGTAATATATTTAAGGCTATACATGATCATGGGATTCAAGGTAATGATACCGTGCTAATACAAAACTAAAAATGTAATTACTGGTAATTAAAAATAATTTTTTTTATTTTGAATGTTGTTTACTAAATTCAGCTAAATATTTCAGGTACACATGAAGATGCAATGTATGGCACAAAACTTGAAACCATCCGTAAGATTCATGGTGAAGGTCGCATGGCCATCTTAGATGTCGAACCACAGGCACTCAAGATCCTGCGTACGGCTGAATTTGCACCCTATGTTGTATTCATTGCAGCTCCTTCTCTTCAAAATATGACTGATGTAGGTAACATTTATTTAGGAAACTATGAACAGACAATAAAATATAAAGAGAAGTGCATAAATAAATTAATTTTAATGGAAATTATTATGAATTCAATTATAGACAGTATTGTACAATATTTTGAAAAAAACTGAAGGCACTTTTAACCCTTAAAGCATACAAGAAACATTCAATATGTATAAAGGAATAGTCTGATAGGCTAGGACTGGAAAGTACATTGATGAATTAGGGAAAATACAAAACACTTGCATATTAAAATATACAGCAAGACAATGTTATCTGTGAGTATAGAAACACATAAAAGACAATACAGTAGATATTGTTAAACAATCACAGGGATTAAGGATTGGCATTAAGATAAGACAGGGATGCTTGATGGCATTATGATTTGTTATTGGCGTAGCAAAGGTCTCACTGGTAATGAAAGGCTGACAACAGTACTATAAAACCTTCCAGAAAACTTCAGTGACATACAGCACACAGGTGCAGTAAACTGAAGGATGAATACCAAAAAAATGTAAAAGTGATGATGTTATTTTTGTATAAAGTGAGTCAATATATGGGCCAGTTGTAGCCTATGGCAAGATCTACAAAATAGACCACCCAGTTTTCTTCAAACCTGTAACCAGCTGAGAGCCAAATATGTTTGGGGGGCAAACTATAGTATCATCTATTAATACCACACTAAAGTTTCTATTATGAATACTATATATAATTATATACAGTAATTCTATATATAATACTGCATATATAATATGTTGGTAAATTAGAAGAATATGCTGTTTACTCTTTTATAATGTACCAATATACTACTTGTCTTTTATTTTGCAGTATGATGGAAGCTTAGAAAGACTGGCAAAGGAATCGGACATGCTCAAGCAATTATATGGCCATTTCTTCGACTTGACCATAGTGAACAATGACATCGAAGAAACCATTCGACAACTGGAAAAATCTATTGAAACTATGAATATGACACCGCAGTGGGTGCCTGTGTCATGGGTTTACTGACAGACCGCCCCTCCCCGAGACAGTCCCTCTGACTGCTATTGCTGTGGAACATCAAGGAGCAAAGAGGCTAACAGACGAGCCCACCAACACCATAGAAGGTGATCCAGTGGAACATAGAACCACACAACCATGACCAGAGTGCCACAATCAAAGTCTCGCAAAATGAAAAGCCTCATTTTACCCTAAGATATAAAAAACTATATAAAAATAGTAAAAAAAAAAAAGAGATCAGTTATTATAGCCATACAATGCACATCAATGCTTGTCCTGTATGACAAGTGATGAAAGAAAGGAATTGGAAATAAGTCTTGGGAGTGCTGTTATAACTACCAGAGGTTTTGGCAACTTGCTCAAAATGGGGACTTTTTCTAAAGCATATATGCAGTATTTGGCAAAAACTATTTTTGTTTTCTTAAGTTAAAAAATGATTTCTTAGATTCTTCTTCTTCAGTTTAAGTATAATAATAATTTATTATTTTTCAGATTCTAGAGTTTAATCAGGATATTTAAATTAATAAGTGCTTTACATTATAATACATCACATTTATTGAAGAAACTGAAATTTAATGTAACTTTCATGATGTAGGAGTTTGTATTTTTGTCCTCTTAATTTTACTTCAAAAACAATATGCCACTGTGATCGTATTTGGTAACTGCCCAACTATTTTATTTATATCTTTCCTCATCTTTGAAGCTATGGGTTCTCAATAGTTAAACTAATAGGCAATACCCTATTTATATATATTTCACATATATACTGTATATTGAAACCTTACTTAAATGGAATGATTCATTCCAGATCCCTTTTATAAGGTGTCTGGAATGGATTAATCTAAGCTGTTTTAAATAAAGCAAAATTGACAAAGTTATCATGTTTGGCTGTGGACAAACAAAAGAAAACACTTTTGCTTACTGTACATAACTAAGAAATCACTTTGATTTATATTTTAATACACAAATTCGTTTGAATTATTTTTATGTTTCTCAGCACTACATTCCAGTCTAGTGAATATGCATCCCACTCAACCAGAACTTTACCATTATTTCCTTTCCATCATATCATGTCAATCTTTCAAAGTGAACAGAATATTTCCATTGCATCCTGACTTTGGTTGGATGGATTCCATTTAAGTGAGGTTCCATTTCACATGTACCGTACTGTACATGTATTATGTGTATGTACAGTACTGTGTGCGTGTGTGTATATATAAAATATATGATATACAGTATACTAGATATAAATATATATACACTGCAACTTTGCTCAGGCGGACTAATTATGACCATACCCAATCCGCATTACTGTACATAGAATTCCTGTTCTCCAAAAATTTGTGCAATTTCTCCATAACCAAAATTTTTGTTCTTGCCCCAAATTATAGAATACATCATTGCACACACACAAAGACAATCAAATGATATATAAACAATACATTTACAAATTACTGGAATGTAAGACAGATGAAACTGAACAAATTATGGTAAAATAGAAAAATGATTTTTTTTTTTGACTGGCCTTGAAGTTGACCACAGTTGTCTTTGCTATTGTGGTTATTTTTGGTGTATCATGGCTTGCATGTACACTGTACAGTAGCACGCTATGCAATACAAACACTGCACTTTACTTGAGGAGAAAGTTGAAAATTTAACTCTTCAAAAGTTCATTTTAGTTTTATATGGCCTGTAACATACATGATTTTGGGTGACAGTATTCAAAGAGTATGGTGTTTTTTTCCTGTTTATTAAATATACTGTAGTATGGTTATAGCAGTTGGACATTAAAAATGGTACAACAGTGTCATGATAGGTTGAGAAAAGGATGTTTTTTGCATGTAGCTGGAGCCATGTAGAATGTGGTGCCGAAGGTGGCTAAAGATGAAGAGCCCAAATGAAACAAGCAGAAAGCTTGAAGGAGGGTGAGAGCCGAGAGCTCGGATGAGGCTGAGACTAGCTGCCTGCTCTGTAGTGAGGCTTGTAGCATCTGGTGTGGGAAGTGGAACTCGACTCATGATGCTGTCTTTTACCTTGTTATATCTGCATCCACCTGACTTTGTGTTGGACCCAATTTGCTTCCTTATTTTGCAGGTTGATCATCTTTTGGTCTGATGAGAAGCTTCCTGGATACTTTCAGCAGTCCTAAGTGATTCGTAGAAACCTTGGGGATTTGTTACAGATATCATTAATGGTTAGCAAATATGGTTGCAGGTGTCATTAGTAATTATGGGGAGAATTGGTAATTTTTTAATGCTTGCAATAGAATTTCTTGGAATGTGGAATAGCTTGAAGATAATTTAAGTGGCTGTCACATTGTCTTTAATGTGGCTGCTACAGGCCTGACGCTTAAGAGATTCATTTCGTTAATCCTTTCAACATTTTCAAAGGCAAAAGCAGAGGTAAAGTGAATACAAATTATCTTGAGCAACCAAATATATAACCGAGAAGAATAAGGTAAGAAGGTGTCACTTGGGATTATAGAATCTCTGCAGTTCTTTATTTTGATGTTGGCAGGGGCAGTGAATGTGCTGGATATTCTATCTTGGGCTTGAGGATAGTAGAATGTACCCAAGCGTGATCTAGCTGCTAGTAGTTGGTTGAGATTGGTCTATACATAGTGCTCCACCAATGTCTAATAATCGACAGATACAATGACAACTATTTACAGCCAGATCACATTTGGGTACATTCTACCATCTTCAAGACCAAGACAGAATATCCTGCACACACACATATACACACACACTGCTCCTGCCACCATCAAAATAAGGTAAATGCAGAAGGTCTATTAGCCCACCTAACTTCACCTCATCTTTCTTCAATATGTAGATTTGGTTGCTCCAGATAATTTCTATACACTTCACCTCTGACTCTGCCTTTGACAATGTTAACAGGATTAACAAAATGAATACACGTATCTTACCATCAGGAAATAAAGTATAAAACTGTAAAATGAACTTCAAAGAGTATTGTTCAACTTCCTTCACAGGTAAAGAAGAATTTGGACAAACTGGAAACTTTTTAACCATAACATAAATAAAATATAAGACCTAACCTAACCTCATCTAGCAACCCTAGGCCTAATAAATGCTATCATAGGTCTAATACAGTACATGTATGTGCTATAATATGCCTAGGAATATTTAAGTTTGGTTTTTAGCTTTATTTTTTCCAGACTTTAAAAATAATAGTACAAAAAGTGGTTTACTGGTGGTACATCACTACACATTGGTACTCTCGACCAAGTAGTTACTTTCATTTCATGAGGATGGGTTGATATTATATATATATATATATATATATATATATATATATATATGTATATATATATATATATGTCGTACCTAGTAGCCAGAACGCACTTCTCAGCCTACTATGCAAGGCCCGATTTGCCTAATAAGCCAAGTTTTCCTGAATTAATATATTTTCTCTAATTTTTTTCTTGTGAAATGATAAAGCTACCCATTTCATTATGTATGAGGTCAATTTTCTTTTATTGGAGTTAAAATTAACGTAGATATATGACCGAACCTAACCCTACCTAACCTAACCTAACCTATCTTTATAGGTTAGGTTAGGTAGCCGAAAAAGTTAGGTTAGGTTAGGTAGGTTAGGTAGTCGAAAAACAATTAATTCGTGAAAACTTGGCTTTTTAGGCAAATCGGGCCTTGCATAGTAGGCTGAGAAGTGCGTTCTGGCTACTAGGTACGACATATATATATACTGTATATATATATATATGTCGTACCTAGTAGCCAGAACGTCGTACTCGGCCTACTATGCAAGTCCCAATTTGCCTAATGAGCCAAGTTTTCCTGAATTTATATATTTTTCAATATTTTTTCTTATGAAATTATAAAGCTATCCATTTCATTTTGTATGAGTTAATTTTTTTTAAATTTGAGTTAAAACTAACGTAGATATATGATCGAACCTAACAACCCTACCCAATCTAACCTAACCTATCTTAACCTAACCTAAACTAACACAATTATTAAGTCAAGGATTTATGTTCTTAATATAATATAAAAATAATAATTCAAATAAACTAATTGGAAACAATTTATTGAAAATAAAGAAAATCACTCGGCCTATTAGGCAAATCGGGTCCTGCATAGTAGGCCGAGAAGTGTGTTCTGGCTACTAGGTATGACATATATATATACATACACACACACACACAAAATGCAAAGAGAATGATAGACGGTTGGAACAAGCTAAGTGAGAAGGTGGTGGAGGCCAAAACTGTTAGTATTTTCGAAGTTATACAACAAAGAGTACTGGGAAGACAGGACACCATAAGCGTAGCTCTCATCCTGTAACTATACTTAGGTAATTACTTACACACACACACACACACACATACATGGTGGTACGCGAACAAAGGGACACAGGTGGAAACTTAGTACACAATAACAATAATAATAATAATACAGAGAAATCATATTAACGTGATATATCAAAGAACAAATCCACAGGAGCCGTGATGAGAGTTCGAACCTATGTGCAGAGTGTTCCCAGACATGCTATAGTCACCTGTACCACAACATGGTTGATCATGTCGTGGTACAGTTGACTAGAGCGCGTCTGGGAGCACTCAGCGCATAGGCTCGAACCCTCATCAAAGCTCCTGTGGTTTTGTTCAATAATAATGATAATAATTTATTCACAAAAAGGTACAATGGGTTGGTGAGATTACATAAGACTGATATTTTTACATTCATGCAGAGCCACTAGCACACATAGCATTTCGGGCAGGTCTTTAATCTAACATATCAGGCAAGATGAAGAGGTACATTGTAGAAAGGTTTTATATCAACAAATAACAACAATATAACTTGACAAGAGGTGATTACACTGGTAAAGATATGTCTTAAGTACTAATATTGGGGAAGTGGGTAGTACAAGATACAGTGGGAGTTTGGGTTATTTAATGTTGAGTACAGTGTCAGTGTGAGTTTATCCAAATGAGCACAGGGACGTTAGAAAGAACTTTTTCAGTATCTGAGTAGATAACAGATGGAATGCATTAGGCAGTGATGTGGTGGAGGCTGATTCCATACACAGTTTCAAATATAGATATGATAAGAGCTCAGTAGGCTCAGGAATCCATCTGTATACCAGTTGATTGACAGGACCAAAGAGCCAAATCTCAACCCCTGCAAGCACAACTAGGTGAGTACACACCTCTGTCAGTAGTTTCAAAGTGTTATATAAGAGAGTGCTGGGAAGATGAGACACCACGAGCTTAGCTCTCATCCTGTAACTACGCCAGCCCGTCCTCCAAAAATGGGGTGGTAAATGTAAGGAGACAAATAAGTGCAATTATGTACTATTCATAGCAGTTAGAAATTGTACTTATTTTCACTTAGTATTAAATCGTACTGTCAAATATATTGTGAATATTTGAGTTTACCTGAAAAACTGAATAGAAAACCACACCCTCACCTAACCGTCTTAGTTTTTGAAGATAATAATTTTATTGCTTCTTAATTACAATTAGTACTTAACCTATAGCTATATTGATATTACAGTTTTATAAAACTAATAAAACAAAACTAAAATATATCAATAAATTGTAAAGTAACTAAGGATATTTTAAAATTTTGTATAAAATCTATATTGTTTAATAAACCTGAAAAAGAAATTCCTGATATTTAAAACTTGTGTATTGCTAATTGGAATTGAAAACGTCATCCTAAAATTCTGAGTGTGTTAACAGAAAACGAGGAGAATTAAATCGGGGGAGGGAGTTGGGTAAATGTAACAGCCCCATAAGTACAATTATGCACTGGTTATGACAGTACGATAGTGTACTTATTACACTTAGTATTAAATCGTACTGTCAATTCGGAGGATGGGTTGAACTACGCTTAGGTAATTACACACACACACACACACACACACACACACACACACACACACACACACACACACACACACACACACACACACACACACAGTGCAAACCCTGTTTACTAGTTACCCATTAACCAATTTATCAGTTTAACATGAAAGAAAGAAAAATCTGAATATTTAATTCAATTTACCAGTTTTGAGCTGGTAAATAAACTGACATACCAGCTGCTTCCTGATTAACTGGATATTCTCAGTTTCAGCTAGCACTTACTGGGAAAAAAATATTCTTGCTTAACCAAATAAGCTTATTGAAGCTGTGTCACAGTAAATGGAAGAAATATAATTTTTAAATATGTGAGAATCTATAAATAATATGAGAATAGTATGTATCAAGTGTGGAAACTTGCATCGCATCATTCTTAAATGGCATTCCAACAGTCTTGCCTCTCCTGCCACTTCCTTCTCTACCCACATCTCTTTTTATTTTTTATACTCAAAATTAATGCATCCACACATTTTTACCTTAAAAAAACTTTAATCCTTTACTGTACAAGATTTTTAATAATATCAATATAACTGCACATTTGTCTCAAAGCTAATGAGAGTTGGTGTGGTGGTGGGAGGACGTCCTCTTGTCACCATCACCAACAACGGCCAGTGTTGGCAATGCAGTACTAGCTAGGAAATGCTTACTTCAATATCTTGCTAGCAAATGCATTCCTATCTTAAATAATGCAAAATGTGAAATAAGTAGAATGGATATTAATGTGAGGATCATGAATATCATCCACATTTTACTTTTATATATGATCTTTGGCTATATATTCAGAAGAGGTAAGTAGTAGTTTTATATATAATTCATTAATTATAATTTAGTTATTATTAGTTAAGGTGGCAGCACAGAGGAATATAAAGTATGTAAGAGGCGATGAGTCACAATAACGTGGCTAAAGTATGTTGACCAGACCCCACACTAGAAGGTGAAGAGATGACAACGTTTCGGTCCATCCTGGACCATTCTCAAATCGAAACGTCGTCGTCCTTTCATCTTCTAGTGTGTGGTCTGGTCATCAAGTATGTAAGACTGACAAACTTGCATTATCTGGATGCTGTGCTTATTGAAATTTCCAATATACATCTCTAGGGAAGTGTAGATAATATTTTTATGCATTATAGGTCTCCAGCCACTTTTATGTACATGAATACTATATATATATTGTTTAACAAATGATTTAAATTAATTTTAATCATGCAAGTTAAATAAGATTGTTTATTACTCAGAGGGGATGATTTGCTTTTTAT